AGCAGCAGGTGCCAGACGCTTTCTAGAGGGAACGTGCTTTTCCTGATTCTGAATAAACATCATGGGATGGGAGAGGTGGAGACATGCATCTCCTCTTCCTGCATCTCTTGCAGCATTGGCAAGAGGCACCAGCTGGCAAGGGATTGTTTTGTTTCTTTTTTAAAGTCTAATATATACTCCCACAGATGCTCTCAGTTTAAAGAAAATAAATTACCTTAGAGCTGTGTAAAGCAGGCTGCTTTATCCTGAGAAAATCCCTTTCGGTTAGGCCACATTGACTTAATTGAATTTATGAGCTCCTAAGTTGTGTAACACAGGTGTAGTAAATTTGCCTGTGGGGTAGCTCGAACCAGTTTCAGTAACAGCAACGGAAAAACTCTGAGCGTGCAGAAGAGTAGCTCCCAATTTTGCTTTTACCCATAACAGCAAAATCAGCTTAGTTTGCTATCTGTATTTACCACGTGTGTTGCATGTGATTGCAGGTCTTGGAACACCGGAGCGTGTTGGCAGGTTTTGGGAGTAACGTGGTGGGTGGGAACTCGGGTGCTGCAGTAGCTCTCGCGGGGTGGCTGAAAGCTCCTCAGGCTCCGTCGCTCTCTTACTTCTTACCTGGCTCTGCCTCTCCAGGCACCTGAACTGGGACTGTCCTTCCCTTTGACAGCTGCGGGGATGAGGGAAGAAGGACTTGGGTTAGGACTGGATGCAACAACACCGACAAGTCCTCTAGCAGCAAAATAATACAGAAATGGGCCTGTTTTTTCTGCAGCTGTCTGGTCATGACAGCCCGCTGTGGCGGGGGAAGCCTGAGTGATTGTCTTTGACAGCTTTTGCTTATTATGGCAGGGGAAATGTGTTCTGCACGTATCCTACACATACACGCAAGATCAGACGTGCAGGGATTTGAGGCTAGGGTGAGATGGAGACTGCGCTCTGGGGAATGGAAGGAAATCTGGCCAGTTTTGTGCTCAGTGTTTACCTTGATCTTTTTCTCCTAATGGACTTTAACTAATATAAGAAATTATTAAGAATGTTGGTGTGACCCAGAGAAAAATAATATCAGTGATTTGTATTTCATTGTTATTGCCAAGCAAACTGCTTGCCGGAGCCAATATCCTTTCATACTTCCTAGCAGATAGATTTTGGGAGCAACTGAAGAAAGCGCTGACTAGAAAAGGCAGGAGCAGATGGCAGAGTCAAAACCTTAGGATCTGAATCTATGTATTTGTAGTGCACTGTGCTTCAGCTTCAGAATTTAAACAGGTACTCTGTGTCTATTTTTGTAAAGGCTGACACGGCCAGTTTTGCTCACAAAAGCTCAATTCATGCCCGTAAAGTCTCTATGCGCAAGCTCATAAGGAATGTCATAATCCCAGGACCCCCAAACTCAGTCCAAGCAAGCCAGCCTGATTGTTGCTGTGGTCGGAGATGGCTCTGGGCTGACTGGCTGGCTGAAGGCTTATGCCTCCGAGATTAGTTGTAGAGCAGATGATCCCTGGGGAGTGAAATCAAGGGACGTGATGAGAGGACACACAACACCCTCAACAGCTCTCTTCTCCTATGAGTGCTAATCTGGTTCTGATTATGCGGCTCATGCAGGTGAGTAATTTTTCCTCCTTACTCATATCTAGTGGCTTGTCATATGCAAGTCCTCTCCTACCTGTAGTATTGTGCGGTAGAGCTGGCAGAAGCAGTGAGTGCAGCTCTGTCTCTCCTGTCCTTTCAGCCACTAGTGGTGCTGGAGGACATTCCCCACTCCAGTGTTTGAGATGCAGTGACACTGCTGTTGCGCCTTGGGATCTTTTCCGTTACTTTTGAATTTTCCCTCTTCTTGCTGGTTCCCTCCTCTTGGTTTCCTTTGAGGTTTTCTTTTGTTTGTTCTCGGTTTCTATGGTTTCCATCTTCCCTGTGGCCTTTGAGGGCTGTGTTGCCTACAGCAATCACGCCTGCTGTTTCTACTGCCTCTACAAAGCCCACATTTCTTCCATGAGCAACATCTGCAAGGCTGTGAAGAGATTTCTGGCTGTAAAGAGATCTGTAGCTCCTTTTAAGATCTACTATCATCTGAAGGCACTTTCCCAACCAAAGCTTCAAGACTCTTACCATGCTTTTTATGTGCAAATCAGTGAGGATGAGTTGTGGTTGCAAACACTGGGCCCAGGAATGTGCTATCCCCTTTCTAGTCCTGCCGTGATCTCCTTGGGTTTGTCTTTGGGATTTGCCTTGGGACTCAGGCAATATAGAAATGAAATGTTTGCTTGCTTCTCTCCACCTCTGGTAACTGTGTACACCAGTAATTGAGCTCAGCACTGATAATGAGCAAATGGTATCAGATTTATTGGGATGCTGATGGTTTGCGTTTTAAGGGTAGTGGTAAGTTCAAGCAGGGCTGAGTTTTGAAGCAGGGCTTTTGGAAAGCCTGGCTTGTCGTTGTACAGACCTCCTTGTCCTCCTCCCTTACCTTCCAGCCAAGGCTTGTGATATGTGTACTGCAGCTTGTACCTGCTGGGGGCATGAACCTGGGATGGCTCCAAGTCCTCCGTTTTGATACAGAGCAATAGCTGCAAACAGGGAAAGGCAGTAGTTGTGCCACCAGCGAGGGCTTCTCCATGGAGCTGCTGCCCATAGACTCCGAGAGGCTCTGTGAAATGATTCCCATGTGAGAAAAGTTAATTTTGTATCCCCTTGAGGTAGGATTGTTTTAGAAAACACATTAAACTCTTTACTTTCGTATGCCTGAGGAGTATGTTACCTCTTTTCAAGTTCATAGTGATAAAATGTTAATTGATGGAGATCTTGCAAAAGGAATCCAGTTAGGTAAAATAATTGCATTTTCTTGAAGCTTTTATCGCAATAAAAGCTGTTTCGATTGTTTGACAACATGCACTTCCATTTCAAACGCGTAGCTAGGTGTACGGGGTGCCTCTGCCCGGGGCTGGCAGCGGGGCTGGGGACTCTGTGGGGAGAGGCTGTTCCCGAGGCCCCACAGGCACAGCTCAGCCCCTCGGCAGCTGCTCTGGGGCCTCCAGGAGACAGAAGAAAGAAAGGGCAAAACTCTTCCGGGCAGTGAGGAGCAGCCCTGCGAGCACTGAGGAGGATGAGGAGCTTTGGGTGCCCTGCAGCCTGTGCAGGGACCCGGCTGCGACAGGGAAAGGCGAGGGAGCGAGGAAGGGCTGCTCTGGGCTGTGAAACACCCTTTGCTGCGCCATAAGGGGGTCTGGGCAGGAGAAGGCAGCCCCCACATGGGCTCAGCAGCCACCGCGTATGATGTTTTGGCATTTCCAGATCACTTGGGGTCGCAAGGCCACCTGTCGGTGAGTTGGTTGCCCATTTTTACCCATTTTTTTGCGATTTTTCCACTGAGCAGTGGGGTGTGGTGGCTTTGTAAACAGACAGTAGTCATCTGTGGTGTAAAGCCACAGATAGAGAAGAAAGCTTAGACAAAAGCTGATTTATTTATTTGTTTATTTTAATCAGAGAGTCCGTGTAGTAGAAATTTTAGGGGACAAAGTACAGCAAACTTGTTTGAGGTCAGAACATCCTTTCAAAATTTGAATTTGTTCCATGCTGTGGAAGCATACGCCCAAGACACGTAAAAATGCACAGAGCTAATGCTTGGCTGACTTCTCACCGGTGTTATATACTGTAACGATTAGTTTAATTGGATTTAATAATGTTGATTTGCCTGCTACTCTGCATGGAAGCAGATCAGTCCTGCAGAATGTGGAAAAGATGTTTATGCCCAGGGATGTACACAAATGAGTTTATAACATGCAGTCATGTTTTTGGAAACCAAATTGCAAAGCCTGCCATATATTTGAAAGTAATTTTAATTTACTTTCCTAAGAAATATGTTTATCTATTCAAAAACATACTTCCAAATTGGTCTTAAATAAATATTACCTGTTCGATTCTTCCAGTGGTAGTAGTACTTTAGGTATTGGTGTAATGCAGGGGAAAGGCACAGTGGAATTTTTCTTACCAAAAATTTTAATTAACTTTTAATTGATTTCTAGGAAGATAAATTGTTTCATCGCAAAGTCTTACAATGAGTACCTTCACTGGAATTGAACATTCATGGAAACGCTGTGACAATTGTTCTGACGGCAAAACCAGGAAAATCTCTTATGGTCTTCCCAGATGTCTGTGGCCTCACTTTAAAAAGTCAAATAAGCAAATATACCTTGCTCACAGGATGCCCTTTGTTTAATTTACATCATAGTATTCATCATGCCATAATTTAATTAAGAGGAGGAAAAATAACAGGCCAGCATTCAGATGAGTTTGAGAACCTGGCAAAACAGGCAAAACACAGATTTTGTCTATCCCTGTAAGGACAGTTATGTAACAGCAAGAATTGTTTGGCTGATACTGAAATTTGAGACCAACTGAACAAAATCTCAGTAGTTTTATCTGCTCTTCTGAGTATAGGAGAATAAGGATAAAACGTGAAACATTTGGTTTTGAGGAACACGATAAACTATAGAAAGTTCAATAGTTCTTCAGAGAGCGATGGTCGAAATACCACTAAATGTAACAAAAATGTTAAGTGAAATGAAAATTTCTAACTGATGTGTCCATATCAGCTATCTGCTGACTGTATCCATCTTTTACCTAAGCAGACACTCCGTCATGATTTGAGCAGCAATGAAACACCTAAATAAAACAAGAATTCCCCTAGAAACCACCTATCTCTGAAGATACTTTAGCATTAGAACTATCTGAGGGCCTGACTTGAAACACATACATGCACAGTTGTCCAGGGCTGAACACTTCAATGCGTATTTTCCCCTGAATTCCAGTTTGGTTCCAGTAAACCTACCTTTTGTCGCTGCAAATTAAGAGATCGGTTTCTGTGGGAAAAGTATCAGAGGGAGACAAGCTCCTGTAAATAAGAAATGCGTTAGTAGTTAGTACTCTGGAGGCTGTTACCGTAGCTTACCTTACTACTTTCATGGAGGTATGCTCCTTGCTTTTAAGGTGGTTCTTTTTTCTTTCTTTAGGCTACAGACCCAGATGCTGGTGTCAATGGTCAAGTTCACTACAGTCTGGCAAACTTCAATAATCTTTTCCGAATCACATCAAACGGTAGTATTTATACAGCAGTTAAACTGAACAGAGAAGCAAGGGACTATTATGAACTTACTGTGGAAGCGACAGACGGAGCTGTGGACCCTCGCCGTTCAACGCTGACTTTAGCAATCAAGGTGCTGGATATTGATGACAACAGCCCTGTTTTTACTAATGCTTCCTACACTGTCTCCGTGCCAGAAAATCTACCACCAGGCACTGTCTTTCTGCAAATAGAGGTAAGAAAGCATTATGGAGTGAAGGAGATGTTTTGTATATGTTTTGCAATAGCGAGCATAGTCTTATTTAAGCTGCCAATGAGACTGCAGTATAAGATTTCAAACTGGAGTGAGGGAAGTGATGACACTTAACAGACTGAAAAATGCATGACCTTTACACAGGTGCAGAAAAATACTTTTAAGCTCTGAGGTTCATCTGGAAATAAGAGCAATTATTTAAAAAGCAAATAACAAAACCTACATTACTATTGTAATTTCTTGGAAAATCATTTTGCGCATTTTAAGTGCTTTTGATTTGTTTTTGAAAGCTCACCATATTGCTTCTCCTTATTTACATTACTAGCAAAAAGAGAGCTTTATCTCAACTGATCCAGACATTTAAGTCAAACCTAGATGTCTGACCTCACATTTTGGTTGATGGAGATGAATAGTTACTTCCAGAAGCAATTCATCAAAAACCAAGATCATCATCTAAGATAGCTGGAGTAAAGTGGACACCTGGACATGTTGTCTTCTTTTCACTGACTATAAAAAATACTCAGACAAGTGAGAGTTAATTGTTCAAGGACGAGTTAGATCTCTAAAGACAGCAGAGATTCCTTTCTTGCAAGCAGTATATATATTATCCTGATCTTTTGGTCAGCATCCTTTAATGAGAAGAATCTGTCCTACAATTTCTACAAGAACAGTGCTTTCTCTGACCCCGTCCGCAGATAAATCTCATGTCAAATTGCAGCTAAAGCAATTGCATAATGCTCATTTTCCTGACGTAAATTATTATTCTTTGTCTGAATGCTAGTGTGAAAGAAATAAATCTGTGCTGCCGTATGTGGTGAGGTCAAACACCTGCTTAGCCCAGCATCCTCTCCCTGGCCGTGGCCAACAGCAGGTGCCCAGAGAAGAGAACAAAAACACTCTGAGCTACCAGCGACTCTTGCCCAGAATATTGTGCTCGTTTCCTGGGGCAGGTGTCTCTGGATTTTGCAGCCTGAGGTGGATTTGCCTTTCTTGTGTTTGCACATTGTTAAGTGCATCCAATAATATTAGAATAGTATAATGAAAGTAAAGTTGTAGTAATTTGCTTTTTTAATATTCTTTAAATCTGATAGGGATTTTTTGGTGAAAATGGGTTTTTTTTGGTTCTAAGTATGCTTTTTTTCCCTGTGTGGCATGCTCTAGGCCAAGGATGTTGATCTTGGTTCCGACGTTAACTATCGAATACGGACACAGGAGGCACTACAGTATTTTGCACTGAACAAGTACACAGGCGAGTTATCACTTTTGAAGTCCTTGGATTATGAATCATTCTCTGACACTGAAGCAACCTTCACCTTTCTTGTGGAAGCCTTTGATAGCAAGGGCACTATGCCTCCTGGTCTTGCTACTGTCACGGTGAGAGTAAAGGTAAGAGGAATAACTTGTCAGTTGATGGCATCCTCTCCTGTTTGTTACAAAATACTTTATCCACCCTTACAGGTATCCTGATGAAACACCAGAGCACCGTAGTAGTGAGGCTGCTTTCCTGCTTTTTTCGCTTGTATGAAGCAACTGCCTTTTCCTGACAGCAACTTGTTCTGTTAAACATGCACTTTATAACAACTATAATTGCTTTGCTATGTGCAATTACGTAGTTAAATCTTGGATCATAGATTTATGAAGTACAAGAATACTTAGACATATATAAATGTTTAGTCCTTTAGAATCCCTGAAAGGTTGAAGTACGTACCTAACGGAATTGTCTGCAAAAATGACACCATCGTGTTTCAGCTAAAGCTCTCATAAATTCTAGTTTCATGAACCATTTGGGTGTATTGAGTGCTGATGTGGCACACCACATCCCGTGTTTCAGATTCTTCTGCTTGCAAACGCAGAGCTGCAGAGGAACAGGCTTGTTTAGTAGTCTCGTGCTATTAATTGTTTTTATGCAGTGAATTACAGCATCGCCTCTGGGTCTCAGTTATCTCACCAGTAACATGGGGATAGTGGCATTCTGTTTGGTAACGATCCACAAATGAAAAGCATTTGTAGCTGAAATATTAGCACTTACCCATCTTAATTTGATTGATGTACTCATGTCCAAGAGGAAAGGATGTTCTGGTGCCAGTCAGCTGAGTCCTTTTGCACAGTCACTTCAGTTTTGTTGGCTTTGTCGGTGAAGAACTGTGAGGTGTGGGAGAGAACAGAGTTTAATTACTTGTATTTTAGCTAAGAAGGAAAAATTGAAGCAGGAACAAAAGCATAGCTTACAAATGTGAGCTTCATATCTGACAACTTTAGTTTAAATGTGAGTCTGAGGAAAGTATTTAGCGTATATGAATCAGTCTCGGGTTCAGCTTACTGTGTGTCTGCAGATGCTATGAATTGCCATATGATTTTAGGTAATTCTATTTGGCAGTCTCTAGTGAGCTCAGAATTATTTTAGGGACAGTAAATGTCTCCGATTATTAGCTTTGATGACAACGTAAGAATGCTTCAACAATACCTCTCTGCCTCTGCAAAATTTCTCAGACTGAGACACAGGTCACCTGTTTCCTAGTATTATGTGCTGGGTGCCGGCAGTTTCCAAGTCAATTGAAGAAAATCACAGCTTTTGACATCATTCCCTGAGCCTCTTCTGTTAGACTTCTAAGGATGAAATCACTCATATCTGTTTTTTCCTAAAAGAAACTTCTTTTCCCAGCACAGTGCATTTTTGAAAGAATTGTTTGGATGTGTTGGCTTTTTTAAAGGTGCTTGTTCTCAAATAGGACTGTGTTCAGAGCAAAGCTGTAGTCTGCGTCGCAGGGCTGACGTGGCTGTACGATGCTGCGTTTGCGTTGTGTTCGGTAGTAACAGGCTACAGGGGAGCAGTGCAATTCAACTTGGTGACCTTCACGTAGTATTGTCAAAGGGGGTTGTGTGGAAATAGGGAACCTGAGGAGATTGAAGTCAGAACCTTGTGCTACCCTCTGTGAGGCGAGAAGGATCTGCTAGACGACACCTGAATCAACAAATGGTTGGTTCAAGAGACAGAGCAGCAGGAAAGGCATTTGGAATCTTGGAAGCCAGGCGTGAACAAGTTGAAGAGCAGGCCTGGATTGCGAGAAGAAATGCTCAAGTAAGAAGTGTGTTGCAATGCAGTTTGGATTTGTTCCTAAAGGAAAAGGCTGACGTTTCCCCTTGTTGTGAAGGGGCAGAGCCGACACGCCTTCACTGGGGGTAGAAAGTCCTGATCAGCTCAGAGGGGGCAAAGCACTGGAGTTCCCTTGAGGATGGAGACAGCACAGGCCTTGGGCAGGGCCAACGTCAGCGCGACCTGCTAAGCCAGCAGACAGAACTGATTTCTGTCCAGCAGCTCAGTGAGGAAGTTTACGGGGCACCGAATCTGGCCCCAGGTCTTGAATGCATGAGGGCAGAAATACCGTGTGTTATGTAGTGCGCTAGAGCTGCACGCACAGGGTGCTGCCTCACTGCAGTCCAGGCTTTTATTCTTCTGTAACCTTAACCACAGCCCGAGCTACTGCTTTAGGGCGTAGCTAAATAGGCAGCTCCTGGCGAACGTGTTCGCTGCTTCACTGGAGTTGTTTATAATATTCTGTTAATCAGTTAAGATGTCTGCACAGGGAATTGAAGGTGGTGTAGAGCTCACGATTTTTGCCTGACCATCTGCTGAGTCAGAGCCTGTGTTCAGGGACAGGGTGCTTCTGCATCTCTCTGCCATGACTCTGGAGGGGTTGTTCCTTCCCACTCAGCCTGTCTTTTGCTCCTGCTCTCGGACCAGCAACTGGATGTGTCTATTTCCTCTTAGTAGTAAATGTGCTTTCACTTCACTTTACTTAGAAAATGCTATTAATTATTTTAATACAGTGACCCCAAAGAGGAAATAAACCGAGTGCAAATGCTCTGTAGACACCAGCATAAGTTGTGCAGCTTGCAGTCCTTAATAACAGAGAACTGAGCTAGAGGAAACCAAAGGCAGCCATTAGGGTGGTGGTGGGTGCAAGCAGGGAATTCATGTAACCATTAAGAATTCAGCCCCTAGAATCCTCAGAGCATTATTTGTATTACAGAGGTCTCCCAAAGTCCTTTTGGGCTTACGCTGCTGCTCAGTTAACATTTGTCGTCTTTTCACTGTCCAACTCTTAACTGAAAGCGTTGTTAATTTTTACTGTGTAATAGGATTCTGTTAACCAACTACGGACGGCATCTGATGGTGTCGTGCATCATTTATGTGATATAAAACTGAATGAGCATCGGTGCAGTATACCCATAATCACGCTGATCTTTGTGGCTAGGAGGAGGGTAGATACACAAGTGATTTTTCTTTAGACTCGCACGTTCAGCCTCTGGCATGACAAGTTACAAATAGTTTGTATTAACCTTCCCTGAACTTGACCAAAACACAGATTGCATAGCAGAATACTCACTGCAAGAAAAAAAAAAGAACAACATAATTTGTTACCGCATGTCAGTATTGAAATATGTGATTGGCCTCAGCTGCAGCCAAACGGCCCTTTATGTTGTATGGATGTCTCACGCTTTCGTCGAAGAAAGCCAAAGGTAAATTAATGAATCGTTGCGTCCTTTCTAGTATTACTGAGGAGGAATGGTGTAAGTGGCATTGATGTCTTCTTGCCAGAAAGATGCAAACCTCCTCAAACAGACTGAGATTTCTCTTTTTCCATTGGTTCTCAGATTCCTCTCACTGCTTTCGTAACTTTTCACCCTTGCCTGAAAGCACTAATGAGTCATCTTGTCTTGGGACGGCACTGGAGATTGCACAAGTGTTCAGCCAGAATAACAGATGACTGCGGTCTGAACTATAGTCAAGAACACAAAACTTATTTTATCTGTTTATGTATAGATACAATTATACAGATTAGATGTGGCGAATGTTATCAGTCCTGAAAACATAGTTTAGGGGATAAAAACATTAGCACCTCCAAGAAACAACTTGCACATTATTTTTCAGTGATTTGCCACTCTAGAGGCATAATTTCTCTCACTGTGAGAGCAGCGGAGATTTGCATTCACTCACTGTCTGAGAGGGCTGAATTGTTTGCTCAAAGAGCCTGTTTGCAGTACGCACAAGCATCCCCCCTCAATGTAAATGTTCCCTGGATTGGAAGAATTGGAGTCATTACTGTGCGCTTATTATTAGGGTTTAGCATGTGGAAACATGTACTATGGTAATAGAGCTGCTTAATAGAAACCAGGACTAACCTTTCTCCCGTTTATATTGCTAATACATTCCTAAATACATATAAACATTTCTGTATCATGGGTCCTGTAAGGTACTTGTATATTTTCACATTGTGTCCTCCTCTTATTGTCACCAGCATTATTTTTGTATTACTTTATGTCTCTCGCTTGCTTGTTGTAACTGCTTTTTCTCCTCCTTCTGTGTTTTGGGATTGGTTTTCTTTTCAGTTTTTCAAGTAAGAGCAGGTAGTGTAACAAAGCCATTATCTCTAGCTGATGACTCAAAGTGACTGAGCAACAAGGATAAGTAAACCCAGATCTGTATGTTTCTAGCAATGCCATACTAGGAGACTGCCACCCAAATGTTTCTTATAATTCGTATCATGCCTTAATCCCAGTGGACTGTTATAAACATTATACAATTAATTACTCGGTTTACTAAAACTGACTATACCTGTGAACATCAGTAGACGTATTGCTGTCATTGCTCAAGCTGCGACTGTCGAGCTAGTTTTTCAGGAGAAGTAAGCCACTGAGAAGCCATCAGTTGCATTAGATCGTGCAGTGTATGCAGTGATTGGTGCTTATTGTGGGGGTGAATTTGAATCTTCTATAATCACTATGCCAAGTCTTCCCTTTCTTGGAAACGGTGCCTAAAAGAAACAAAGCAGGCATGCAAAAATGGCTAACAGTTAAGTCTTTCTCAGGGGCATAGTTGCTCTGAGGGATCCTTCATCAACATGACCTTTCTTGCGGTCCCTCATATTCAAGTTGGAAGCAAATGTTCCGATCTTCGTGTAGTGATGCTGTAGCAGCTCAAAGCTCCAAAGGGCTTGCACAAGGAAGGTCTCTTCATTTCTCTGACAAACTAAACCTTGAATCAGGAAGAAATAGAATTGGTTTGTTTTTCTGGGGTGGGAGGGCTAGAAACAGCTGCATGTTTATGGATGAATCCCTCTCTCAAACCAAATGATCAGAGCCAGCGGTAGAGCAAAGAAAATAAACGTGTGCTGGAGAAAGTATGTGGGAATCCAGCATTTGAGACGGCTGGAATAAAATATTACAGCAGGACCTTGTCCTCTCGCAGAGCACATTTACTGTAGTGCTGCAGACAGATGAGTAGTAAGTGGCTTTAGTCTCTATAAAATGCTTAAATGATCGCTAGGAGGGTATGGGAGAAGAAGGAACCACAGGTTATCCTTAGGGATGGCAGGGGGACCTTA